ATACTTATCATTCAGATTATAAGCTATTCATTCTGATATATTCCTTTCAGACAAATGACATTATATCTTGATTATATCATTCAATTTTATGGTGGTTTAGAATTATTCTTTTCAACTAATCTTAAAATGACTTTCTTCGTTTATTGAAATAAGATATCCCTATGTCATCGCAATCATAATTTCACAATCTTTCACTTATCTCACAAATCTTTATCCTCATCCAACATTAACGATACATGTATTCTAATTTTGCACGCGTCATAATTATATTCCGTCGGATAGTTCGATCAACGCACTATGATCGCTTCTCTTCCAGAACTCCCTGAACAAATTGCGGAATCAGAGAGATTATTGCGCCGTGATAATAACTTTTATTTCAGTAAATTAAAGTAAATTAAATTAAATTAAATTATTAAATTATTAAATTTATTTATAATTAATTATTTATTTATTGTTAATTTTTTATATTTAATAATTAAATTAAATTAAATTAAATTAAAGTAGCACTACGTAATAACTTATGTGCATTTATTTGCTCTGAATTTTTATATAAGACCAACGATTGCTAACGGTCGATGAAAGCTGCTCAACCAAGTAAATCCGACTTTCACTTGCACCTTTATTACAAAACTTCGAGATGCGCTTAACATTGCCAGCTTTACATAAACATATTTACTTTTTTACGTACGTAATTTCACTTTCACTTTCCCTATAGTTCATCTTATTTCTATTTTACACACCTCGCATAGCTTAAAAACATTGTGCTTTCATTGAATTTCAAAATTATTGTTATAAATATTTTTTTAATACAACAGAACATTAAATAGTAAAATATAAAAGTCATAAAATCATTGCGTTATATTAGCAATAATAAAGTTTTTAATTTGTATTAGAAAGACTCAAATTACATTAATACAATCACGTGATCTACTTATTCCCTTTTATTTCATCGTGCGTACAAATATTCATAAATTTTTATTATTTATAAAACCAACAATTAATTTCTAATAAATTCTTCTTTTGCTTTAAACTGTATCGCTGTACTTTACCTATTCGGATTAAGTGAAAAACTTTGCAATTCAAGAATGCTCGATTAAATTTACGGAAATAGGTTAAAGTCTCAAAAACGATCCAACACTTTGTCATCGACATACATTCTTTTACAAAAAGTCAATTATAATTTCAATAAATTGCCATAAATAATTCTTTGCAAATGAAAAAATAAATTTACAGTTCAACTTCATTAATTTTGTTGAATTTTCGTACTTGAAAATTCAATGTACGTTGTATTAGAGTGGAAAGGGCTATGATTCATATTATAATTACTCTAATAAAATATTATTTTACAATTTATGTACAATTTAAATAGAATAAATTGAATGTGAATAAGTAAAATAGAATAATTAATTCTTAAATAACGATGCAACGTAATGAATTTTCGGACTGTAATAGAAATAATTTAAAAATAGACGCTCTAATAATTAATATTCTAATTAAATAGTGTTCAAAACTAACGTACCTTGTATTCAATTTTTTTTTTTTTTTTTCTAAAAATTCTAATGAAATAATGTCAGAAATTTGGACATATGAGTATTTAAATTTATAGAATTCGTTTATTTTTACGTACAAAATTAATGGGACAATTACTACATGGATATAAATATTAAATACTTATGAATCATTAATTATTTTTGAATTCTTTATTTAACTAAATATTATAAAAATCACGCTCATACAGAGCTGAAAATAGTTACTAGTTTTACAATAAAAGTTATGAAATAAATATAAATTCCACCTGCACACATGCAACCAATAGAGAAAAATAAGTAAATATTTTATTGCTTATAAGTACGTTTAATTACTGGTCCAATAACTAAATGATAATTAATATTTATGTAATACTTTTCAAAAGCATATTAATATTAGGATTATTATCCAAATTCTTTATATACTTTGCAATTTGCAATAATAATTTGGAATCTGTCCAATACATGAAGTTGTCCCACACGCATTAATCAAGCTCCCGATCGCGTCTGAAATCCTATTTTGAGGTGGAAACATACTTGGGCCTTTTCGCGGATCTATAATGGAACTTGAATTGGATTATTTCGAGATCTTTATACAGTGAGTCTAGAATTTAAGAAGAGCCACTATTACGTAGCAAAAGCAAATCAAAATCTTCAGATTTAATGTCACATGTTATTATGTTACTTTTATATCGACGTAGTATACATTTGTAATTTCTATTATGGCAACTTCTATAAAAAGTTTTTTATATTTACTTGTATAGAATTACTTGATAGAGATAATTCTCGATTGAGAAAAATTATAAGTTTCATTAAAAAATCAATCGGCTTTTCATAATTATTTTACAAGATATACATATATAAAAATGTATTTACTTAAATAATAATATTAAAAAATATAAAATCAAGATGATCAAATTTAAATTTTTTTAATATTAACTTTGTCAAGAGAAAATAATAAAAATTTAAACTATTACGATATAGAAAATTTTCTTAAAATAGAAAAAGTTATTTAATAGATAGAAAAATATGTTTGAAATTAAAAAAGATGAGGTCGGTATTTTAAAAATTCAAATATTCTTTTTTTATGATATATTTCTTATTTGTTAATAAGTATATTATTTTTATAGATAATTAATTTCGTCTGTGAATCGAGAATGTATAATCGTACAAAAATTATATGTTCAATTCGATCCGAAAGAATGTGTAATAATTTTATATGGCGTTTAAAAAATATTGAATTTATAAATTTCGAACATTATGTATACTTATTTGTTTTAATGACTAATATAAATTTGTAAATACCTTTCTTTGCCTGTAAAATATAATTCAATATCTATCGTTAAATTCAATGTGTAATTTAGTATTGCAAATAATTAAAATGTACATAGTAATATAAAAAAAAATAATTATAAATAAATAAAAAAAACTATTAATGTATACATCCTTTTATTCTTTATTTATTTATTTATTTTTTTTTTTTTTTTTAGTATATAATATGATTGTACATATTTTTTTAATTAAAAACAGTATTAATCACTAAAGTAATTAAACGATGATTCCTATCTTTACAAATACAATGGTATTTCATTTATTTAAAGTTGTACATAGATAGTATAGATTTAATGCAATAAAGATATAATAGATACTTCAACAATCACACGGTTCTGTAGTTATGTAAATATTTTATATCTGTCAGTCAAATATCCTGATTTGATCAGATCTAAATTATCTCCTATAGTATCTTATGAATTCTCTTGCACGATTACGTGACTTATCGTGATTGACCTTAAAATATCAAAGTCTTTTTATTCCATCCTACGATGATCCAATAAAAATTTCTTTTTCTGCATACTCGAAAGTTCTTTCTTAATTGCTCGATCAATTTATTACTAATACCTCATAAGATGATTTAACCAATTATATAATACATACATATATATATATATATATATATATATATATATATATATATATATGTATGTATAATAACAAATTTGTCTGTAAAAATTTTATATTTTTGTGTATATACTTCTATTTTTCATGCATGCAAGTGTCACTGAACTTGTAATAATTTTTAAGTAGTATATATCTCTGCTGTGTAGGACTTTCATACTTTCATTTCATCGAATGTCTTATATTCACTAACTCAACTTTCTTGTACACAGATTGTTAACTATAATTGTTCTTATTTCTTTTATTTTTTATTTTTTTATAATTATATGTTCAACTAACGGATAATAGTTAGTAACAAATAATGAGTAACATTTTCATAAAGTACATAACATAAATTAGCGTATTAAAAATTGAAATAAAGATTATCCATTTTTTTTTTAAATAAGTACGAAGTCTCAAGAAGATTTGTTCTTTCTGTATACAATCTCTATTTATAAATGTAAATGTAATATCAATATAAGTAATCGTTAATTGTTTCATATAAAAATATTCTATATACGTCTCAAGTAAAATTTTCTAAATATGTTGATTAGCCTATAATGTATACATATATATTATGTGTCGGTTCTTCTAAATATGTCGGTTTTATAATGATGGAATACAGATTTAAAAATAGTAACGAAATGTGGAGATTTGCTTAAATATATTTATTTATAAATATGGATAAACTTTCTTAGTCCCCACGCTAAATTCCTAAATGATAATTATAAATTAACTAAATGATAATATTCGTTATTCTATATTTTTTATCTTCAATTTTCCATGTCTGTAATCTACGTTTGATTTATAGTGTTTTATATCTGAATCAAGTTCTATTAAAAATATTTGCCCAAGATAAAAAAGATAACAGATGCCGGCAGATCGCTTTGAATCCTTATTTTGTACAATATCGGGTTCGTTACTTTGTCTAATGAAATTTTTTCATATTTACTAAGTTTTTAATTATTCATATATATATACATATATATATAGGTTTTCTATATAATTAATTTGATTAAAACGTTAAATAATTAAAACAAGCTAATAAAAACAAAATTTTAACATGTATGTTTACATAGTTTTTCAAAACGTTTACAAAATTGGAACAATCGAACTTGGATTAAATTATTAAAAAATTTTCCAATAAACTTAATTTATGTTACTTGAGATACATAACTTTATTTATTTCTTATTGATAAAGTGCACTTTATATTAAATGAATTCGAAGAATTAATTCTTAACAATTATGTTGTAAGTATGTATATTAAATTTAATAAAAATACTTTGAAATATCTTCACGGAACGTATTCATAGGCGTATAATTACGTTTTGTAAAATTTCAACTAAGCAATGTTTATATGGAAAATAATAACTTATGAGTAAATTGAAAAATGAATGATTAGGCATGAGTAGTTAACCCGTAGTTATTTTGGAACCGTGAGAAAGCGGTGCATAGGCGATTTGCCGGATGGAATTAAATATTTTGGACTTTATACCTTTACCACTGTTAATCGAATGCAATGTGCTGATGGGTCGCAGCATGTGACATGAACGTGCACAAACGATGTGAGGTGAGCGTACCGAATCTCTGCGGATGCGATCACACTGAGAGACGCGGTCGTATTGAGCTCAACGTATCCTGCAGCGGCAACAAGCTAACAGTCGAAAGTAATGTTCTTATCTTTTTATAATTATACGTCATTAGCTTCGTTAAGTTGGAAATGATTTTGTTTTGGAAATGAAGATGTTTCGTTTACATTGAAGTAAAAAAAAATCTTTTATTCATTTTTTGTTACAATGAATTGAATCGTAAATCAAGATGTGTAATTATATTTATCGAGCGGGGCTTTGTAATTTGTTTGACATTTTACACGATATCGAGTATTATGTGGTTTTAATATTAATGTTAAAACAATTAATAAAATTGTCTCGATAATTTGTTATATTAATAATAATAATACTTAATTGACATAAGTATTTTTGTGAATAGTGTTTTTCAATGTTCAACGACCGCATTCCGATTTAATTACATATCGATTTTCTTTATAAGCTTCGTTACTATCAGTGGTATTATATTATTATTATCAATTATTATTCCTTAATTTTTTTATTCACCAATTAATTATAGTTATACAAGGGAGAAATCTTATTCCAATGGATCCGAATGGACTTTCGGATCCATATGTCAAACTAAAGCTAATTCCGGATGGAGAAAATATAAAAAAGAAAACAAAGACAATCAAATCCTCTTTAAATCCAGAATGGAATGAGACAATCATTATGTAAGTAAAAATTTTAAATACAGCAAAAATTAATTACCTTTTATTTCAGAAGTGAAATTTAGCATTTGGAATAATAATAGTTATGTTAGAGTATTTAATCGTAAAAAAATGTTGTAATATCATTTATTCCTGAGTAATATATTTTTTGCATTTTTTTCATACATGTCGTTAAGATGATTTATTCGATATTTTTGGCAAACCCAATACAAATAATAAAGTCGTAGGACTTATAAAAATGGAACACACATACTTGAAATATTGAAGCTTAAACGACTAATTTTGAAGTTCATAAAAAATAAGAACAAAAAATATTTAGCCAATCATATGATAATATTAATAGATATTAAAAAAAAATTAATTACTCCGATATATGTTATTGATATCAGTTTAAAACACTTACATATTAAATAGTATTTAAATATTCATTAATATTAATATTCAATTAATATTCAAATAAATAGTCATTGAATAGTATTTACTTATTTCACTAACCTATTGATTAAATTATCGAACGTTGAAAATGAAACGAAACCTACATTCTTTTAAATTTTTGTATAAAGTAATATTCAAACATAGAATCCGTAGAATTGGACAGAACTGTTTATTAATTTTAATTACGCTTAAAAGTAAATTACATAATGAAATCTTAAGAATAGAAAATCCAAAATAGTCTACTTATCGAAGCTTACATGAATTTTGAAAAGTCCTACCCAAAGCTGAGTACACCTACTTTCCTACGTTATCATTATTTATTCGTAAAGCAGCTGTTTGTATGATTACAACTTTTTTTTTTATTTATTTTTTTTTTTTTTTGTCAAGCGATCTCAAGCCCGATGACAAAGACAGGCGATTGCTCTTGGAAGTATGGGATTGGGATCGCACGTCGCGCAACGACTTCATGGGCTCGTTATCCTTTGGAATCTCCGAATTGATGAAGGCACCAGCTACCGGCTGGTTCAAGCTTCTCACCCAAGAGGAGGGCGAATTCTACAACGTGCCAGTGCCAGAGGAAGGGGTTGACCTCGCCGAGCTCAAGTCGAAAATGCGGGTACGTTCGGTATGTACGTGCTAGTTTGCTATTGCGACTGCGCCACCACCTTTCACTCATACCAAAATACGTAGCTGCATCGTGTTACTTGTAATTGTATTCGATGTTTACCGGATGCTGTAATATTTTTGCTTTATACAGGATTTATTGCTATGATAATCATAAAATTAGAGAGTGGAGATTATGTAAATACCTCACGAGATCGTATTACTCATGTAATCGAGATCTTATCATTCTATCGAAATATCGATATTATTTCCTGTGACTGTGCATACCGTAAGCAGCTTAAAAATAAAAAGATATTAATGATATATTGTAATGGTATTAGCAATTTTAATTTCTCATGTATATTGAAAATAAAACAAAACAAAAAAAAAAACAAAAAAAAAACAAAACAAAAAAAGAAAAATAGAAAGAAAGAACAAAACCAAAGAAATGGAAATTGGAAGAACCGTAGTTAAGCATTGATTGTATGAATTCAAATTGAAAATCAATATATTATTTTATTCAATATTCCTCGATTAACTGAATTGGCTATGAAGAATGTTTTGGCATCTTAAAAGCTTCGCGTCATGCGCTAATAATGTAGAGCATCAACGATGATAATTTTGAATTTTCTAGAAAACTTCCGTCACGAAGAAAGCCCCAACAACACAAGACAAGGAGGTGCCGCATAATATGGGCAAAAGCGATCTTATTCGAGCATCCGATTTCAACTTTTTACAAGTTCTAGGCAAAGGAAGTTTCGGCAAGGTTAGATGAAGTGCACTTTCTAAAAATTTTCGCTTTTATCTTCATACGACGTGCCAAATATTGAAAATACTGTCTAACCAAATAAGATTAGTTACATTTTTCATTTTGTTTTTTGCTTTTTTTTAGCATCACGTAAGAAATTTAGCGAGCCTTATGAAATTAATTATTAAGATTAATTATAAATAAAAAGAAAAATTAAAAAAACAAAGAAAAAATAAATAAATAAATAAGTAAATCATTTTATTTAAAATGGATTTTACAATGTTCGATAATTGTTGAATTTACCAAGGTTTTGCTAGCCGAAAGAAAGGGAACAGACGAGCTTTATGCGATAAAGATCTTAAAGAAAGACATCATCATTCAAGATGACGACGTTGAATGTACGATGGTTGAGAAGCGAGTGCTGGCGTTATCGAATAAGCCGCCTTTCCTCGTACGACTTCACTCCTGTTTCCAGACAATGGTATGTCTCCCTTCAAACACGATGTTCTATGCATTTTGTTTGATATTCGCCTAAAAATGTGGAGAGGGTAGGATTGCCGTTAACTTATATATATATATATATATATATATATATTTGCAATTGAAGAATATCAGAATATATAAAATATTGACAAGCTTTTTCACGCATACGATCTCTCGATCATTTATGCATGACAAGAAGGAAAAAACCTTTTTTCATATGAAAACTATTATTATTGCTGTTGTTATTATTATTATGGCCATTATTATATGCGCTTGAGCCAAAGAAGGTGGATCACTAAATACTAATTCTAATCAATAACGAGTAGATAAATTGTGTTACATTATAAACGGCGCGTAAAATATATATTTATTAAGATGCCGATATAAAAATTTCTAAATTATGATTAGAGCTTCGGTATAATATTATTGCATAATAATCCTATGCGAGGATTGATAAGTTAATGATCGATAAGAAAGCTTTATTAAATGATATATGAATTGAGAAAATGATAAACGGGGGAAATGATTTTTTACGACGATAGATCTTCTAAATTCAAAGCTTATGCCACTTTTCACTTTTCAATGTCTTGTATAACGCTCCTACTGACTAAATAAATAATAAACTTTAGCACTCGGTAGCCCGTTTAGCATATACAGTCGCGATTGAAAGAACGTGATTAAACGTTTTATAAGAGGAAAATGCTGGTACCATAACATTACAGGATCGGCTCTACTTTGTAATGGAGTACGTGAATGGTGGCGATCTTATGTTTCAAATTCAGCAGTGCGGAAAGTTCAAGGAGCCCGTAGCAGTGTAAGTATATAAGGGCAACAATCATTGGCTTCCCGGATGCACTGACTCGCTTTCATAAAGCAATTGTTTTTACAAGACTTTGTTCATACCTATTGTCATTAACCATTTATCAACTGACTTTAAGACAAATGAGATGAGATGTAAAGCTTTCAAGTGGTATAGATATTTTTCTTTTTTCTTTTACATGGGAATTTACAAGGGAACCGAGAGATGCAATAATTATTGTAAAATCAATAAATTTATAATTAATGTAATTTACCTGTCACTCGGTGTGTATATTAATGCGTGAATTATTTGTCAGTGAAAAAGAGGTTTGAAATTATTTACTCGCGTCGACCGCCATTCTTTCCTTTATCTTTACTAATGAATAAAAATGTAATAATGAATACTAATATTAATAATAGCTATCGCGTTGCTGTTGTCGGAAATTATTATTATTGATTAATTTTTTAATTCTTAATTATTCACTTAATTGTAATAATAATAATAATAATAATAATTTACAAGGTATAAAATAGGAGAATAAAACAGGATGGCCCGTTACTTTAACAGAAAGGAATTTTATACGAATCCTTCATTCTAAAGCTCCGTGTCTTTTCAGATTTTACTCGGCGGAAATAGCGATCGGTCTCTTTTTCTTACACTCGCGGGGTATAGTCTACCGGGATCTCAAGCTCGACAATGTGCTGCTGGATCAGGATGGTCATATTAAGATCGCGGATTTTGGTATGTGTAAGGAAGGTATCAATGGGGACAAAACAACTAAAACCTTCTGTGGAACGCCAGATTACATCGCACCCGAGGTACATACGATTTTTTGCTTTAAAATTTCTTCCTCTATTTAAATTCTTTCAAATACTTTTTATTAAATCGAATTCTCATAAATAATGAATTCAGAAACCATATGACAAAGGTGTAATGATATAAGATAAAAAAAAAAAAAAAAAAAAAAAAAAACCCAAAACTCCTCTGTATTTATTATTATTTAGATAATATTAAATCAAATGGACGATACCATTGCATTCTTTGGAGCTAAAGCAGAATGAAATGCTTAAATGAAAATTTATAATAACAATATGGAACATAAGTGAAAGGAAAATTCAATTTCAATAATATTTTAGCGTAAATTTTTATATGAATTTTGAAAATTTTTATTAACTCTAGTATTTATAATTGTATGCGATTAATGTTATCCATTAAATAAAAAAAAGTAACGAAACATAACAATGAAGTCATATGAATTTTCTGGCATAAGAGAGACAGAGAGAGAGAGAGAGAGAGAGAGAGAGAGAGAGAGAGAGGGAACATTTTTTATTTTTTTTGTTTTAAATATTTCTATTATTATATCGACACTATTATTTTATGTCTCTTTCAATACATTATAATATTATCATATTATATCACAAAAAATGAAAATAATTTTCATTCTTTTTAATATTTTCATCTTATTAAATCGGATTCTTACGTAACTCCTTTAATTAGTTATACAATAGGAAAAAATTGCTTTATCTTTTTATTTTCTGTAATTCGAACGATATTTATAATTATGATTACTCCTATCTATAGTACGTTTATTATATAAAATGTTATATCTATTATATAAATTTGGAAGAAAATAAAAAAATGATAATTCCATTGGCTTTTCAATGATTAAAATTATGATTTTCTCTATTACTGAATTCTTATTGCTTAATGGTAAATTAACGTACATTAACTTTTTATCTTACATGGCAGTAAATTTGTAATAATAAACATAAATAATTTATTATCGTTAATTTATATTACAGTGAATTAAATTATGGAGAAATTTTGTTAAGAACTTTATTGAAACTTTCGTTATTTAAAGTAGTTAATTTAATATAATTCTGTTCGTCCATAAATTCTAACAAGTAAATCCTTTTCAGAACTAGAAAAGAGAGATTACTTCTTAACTATTTCAGTCTAGAAAAATGTGCGATAGTGTATATAACATAAATTTACTAGTAGAGATTCATCGTGTTAAGGCTTAATCGCTATTGACTCTACCTTACATGTAATTGTTTATATACTTTTAGCCTTAATATTTGTAGGTCACGTCCTCCATTTACAAGCGAACGATTTATTATAAAATAATATTAGAAATCTTAATATCCTCGATTATTAAATCATGCATAATTAAGCATTTAATTTAGTCATCGTTGCTATTTAATTTTTATTTTCTTATTTTTTTTTTTCTTTCATTTTTCATCCAAAAAGATGAAGTGAAAAGATGAACAAATATTTATCGAATATACGAAATTAATTAAATTTTTTTTTTAAATTGAAAAATATAGCATTGATTGACTTTTTTTTTTAACCTAAAATTCAATAATAATTTTAAGAAAATTTAATAGTTCATTAAATAATTAATTCAATAATTAATAAACATCGACATTGTGAAAATAAGTATGATGAAAAATGCACATTATCGCTTTTTTTAGATTAACAAAAGTATTGTAAATAATGTGCTAGTTTGTACATCACCCACATAGTAAATTTAAATAAATAGGCAAAATTTAATCGATAAAGTATGAGCTTTTTCACAGTTTATAACCAGAAATTAGAAGAAACTTTTAATGTAAATAATGTCGTAAAAAAAAAAAAAAAAAAATTTACTTCTTTTATTTTTAATTAATAATGTCTCTAACGTCGAGTATTAGTTATACAAATAAATTTATAAATACTTTTATACTATTTTTCATTTGGTATTATCATCTTTGTTTCTTCTCTACTAAATCAATATTTATTCATAATAAAATATAAAATAATCTCATACCTGTAATAGGAAATTCCAACGAGCTAGTCCAATTAAAAAATGTTTTAAATTTTAATAATACAACAATAACTGTATTTATTTTACTTTTGTTATCCAACATAAGGAAAATATCCATAATTAAATTATAGATTATTTTTCATATATAATTTTTAAATATTTTAATGATCGTTTTTGTTTTGTAGTTAAATTATAGATTATTGACAAAAAAAAAAAAATCCAACATAATATAAAAATAATATATACTTCTACTCGGATATATTAATTTCTAATGACAGATAATGTGAATGATTTTACAGATTATTTTATACCAACCATATGGAAAATCAGTAGATTGGTGGGCTTATGGAGTTTTACTTTATGAAATGCTCGTTGGACAACCACCATTCGACGGTGAAGACGAAGAAGAACTTTTTGCTGCCATTACCGACCAGAATGTCAGTTATCCTAAAGGTCTTTCCAAGGAGGCCAAGGAGGCTTGCAAAGGAGTAAGTTAAATTATAGTGCTTCTTTCGCTTAATTTTTCTATGTTAATCAATCTTTTTTCTTTATACTAAAATTGCTATTTTATAGTCTACTGTGCTCAAGGAGATATCGAAATTTATTTGACTTAATATTTGAGAAAACAAACAAAAAAAAACAAAAAAAAAAACAAAAAAAAAACTGTATCCGATCACTGTGTAATATATTTATGAAATGGAAGCAAAATGTTTTATAGGAAATTTTCAAATTTTTAAATAGATAAAATTTTATTTATAATATTGCCTAAATTATAAAATTAAGTACCAATATAAAAGCTTAAGTACCAATCACGCATTTTGATTAGAAAATGAAATTAAAGCTTAAATTTCGTCACAAAATTCATATAGAGATCTATGATAGATTAGACTATGCGTATTTTTATCTTTATTAAAATCTATATGGCCTTTCTCATAAATTTTGAATTTAGGGTTCGTAAAACTGCGCGTAAAAATAGTAAATGAAAGCGTATAAATATAAATATAAATAGGACAGAAGATAGTTTTTCATTTTATAATAACAAATTATCGAAATACCGCTTAATCGTTATATCCTCTCATCTATATATTCTTAATCAAATCGTATAATATCATATCGTGTCATATAAAATTCAATTTGTCGACAATCCAAATTCATTTAATTAAGGCTATTTAATAACTGAATTTTCATAAAATTCCGTAAAAGTAACAAGAAAAGAAAGGCCCTTCTAAATGAAGAAAGAAGCTCTACGAAATTTGAGAAATGAACTTTAAGGTAACTACGCGGCAATTCGCAAAAACCCTTTCGCAAGCTTGAAATCTAATTTTTAAGGAGCGATAGAAAGCCCAAAGTTACGTAGGAACTCGCGAGATATTCAACTAGCTCGTCGAGATGAGGTGGGGTGAGCCGTGGAGGAGGAGGTGGGGAGTGGAGGGGGGGGGGTGGAGGGGAGGGTAGTTACCACGGATTTTCTCTTCTCGTGTATCGGAAATCGGGCTTTTGAAATCACGACTTAGCTGGGCGCGTGTGATACGTAGAGGCCGACGAGGGCATCGATAGCCGATTCGCCGCGAAAATATAACCGAGGGTGAGACGCTTCCGCGTTTTATAAAGAATAGAATTGTAACGCCACTTCGTGCTTCTGCTCAGTTTCTCACGAAGAACCCGAGCAAGCGATTGGGATGCGGATCACGAGGCGAGGACGATGTACGAGGTCACGCCTTCTTCCGTCGCATCGACTGGGAGAGGATCGAGAATCGCGAGGTTCAGCCACCGTTCAAGCCCAAAATTGTAAGAGCCCTGTATATTTTCCATTATTTACTTTCTCTAACATTTCTACATCTAACATTGCAAAAATAGTCGATATTGCAAATATGCGAGTATTCCTTCGTTCTCACGCATGCATGTACATACGTATTTAGGTTTAAGTTAATTAAGTCGTTGTAATTACTTTTTTCTTAATGTTTAATATAAAAAAAAAAAAAAAAAGAAAAAAACAATTCGTGTCATTAATTCATGCATTTACTGTTGTACATTTTATTTTCAATATTTTTTCGGAATATTTTAATACATATTAATGTCTAACTATGAAAAGTAGGTTAAAATAATTTGCGAACCAAGTTTTCTTATTTTCAAATAAGACAACTAATGTAACCATAAGCTATTTCCAAGATGAAAGACGATTATACTTAATGAATGAGTTTAATTATGCAAGTATTCGTCAAAATATATTAATTATATTATGTATAAAACATCTTAAAGTTCAATGAAAATAAAAAATATAGATATATATATATATATATATATATATATAAATATTTCAATTACAATTGTTTAAAATGCATAAATGTAAGTAGGCAAAAAAAGTATTTTATAGATTTTGTGCATAAATTTTTATAAGCTTGTACGCATAAAATACAGTGGATTTATCTAACTAATAATTTCAATATTCATAATAATCAATGCAAAATATTTGCATTAATCCTGATATATATGTATATATATATATATATATGTGTGTATACGTGATTAGTTGTACGTGTGTGAAAATAAATAAATCGTTCAAATAATAATTAAAAAATCCACCTTTACAGAAACACCGAAGGGATGTGAGTAACTTCGACAAACAATTCACTTCTGAGAAAACCGACCTCACGCCGACGGATAAATTGTTCATGATGAACCTCGATCAGACGGAGTTCATGGGCTTCTCGTTTCTCAATCCCGAGTATATTCAACATATATAATGTACTCGATAGAATACATATGGGAAAGAAATATTTATTCGTCGCCAAAAACATAACAAAACGATCCTCTCGAATCTCTCGCGAGACGCAATATACTGTGTCTATCTACTTTTTCCTGCGTTTACATAATTCATCCTCATCAACGTTTCATCCCTTGAAGATTCGCTTTACATTTCTTCAAAAACTTCTATATACTTTCCTCTTTCTCTCGAATCTTCTTGACATTTCTGTCTCTCCTGCTTCTCACATTTCTCTGTAAATCGCCAAATGGATTGTAGGAAAATATATTTATAGTCTGTTTCTTACTCTTATCTGGCAATACTTTTGCTTATTCGTTAAAGAGAGCTAGAGATAGATACATAGAGAGAGAGAGAGAGAGAGAGAGAGAGAGAGAGCGGGAAAAGTAAGAAAAAGTGAGAGAAGATAAACAGTATGAGAAAGTAAGACAAGTGATGGGAGGGATGGGAGAGATGAAAAAGAGTGAGAGAGAGAGAGAAAATATAAAGACAAATTACAATGGAGTTAATAGAAAAGTGACAATGCATCACGTTGCGTTGAACGTAATCGATTTATCTCGTTCCACCTCGTTTTCGAGGATCCTTATAGTCAAGATTTTCAATGTATTCAATGCAAAAAATATACGAAAAAAAAAATTAATGAAGGAAATGCATAACCATTACAATATTTAATAATGGCACGACATTAAATATCGCGCGAATCGCGTTCAATACACTTGTAATATTAATGAAAATTATGTAACTGTACAGTAAAAAAAATAGTTATATAAATGCATTTATCTATATAAATATGTCTATACATATATATATATATATATATATGTATGTATGTATTTATGTATTTATGTAGGTATGTACATTTATGTATATATTGTCAATGAGATAAAGAATTGCAAAAGATTTTGTCTTTGGGCAATGCGCTTTGGTCTCAATTGCTTAATTTATTTTTCTGAAGAAATGTCGATAAGTAATAAAGAAATTAAAAATTTAGACAATTCATAAAATATATTAAAATTTCACAGAATTTTCAGATCAAAATGACATATTTCAATAGATCGATATAAGAGTAATAGAAAAGATTAAATTGTCTTCATTTCTTACGTATATATTAATGCATTTACTTCAGTAGTTTCTACTGCTGCCTTCCAAAGTTATATATTCAATGAATGAAAGACGAATGATTATATAATATATTATACTCTATTACATAACACAACATATACAAAATACCAACATATGCGCTTACACATTTTCTTACACTCGCACACACGTACATACATTTTATTCAGAACCAGAGATTTAGCTTTCGCGCGCTCGCGCACACACACATATACACACGCAGACACACACACACACACACACACACACTTAAATAAATATATATATATATATATATATATATATAAACATACACACGCACACGCACGCGCACACACACACACACTCACACACACGAGATACACACGCCAAAAATATACGATATCACGCGCGTGAGCGAGCGTTTGTGTGTCCGTGTGTGCGCGCGTGTGTGTGCGTCCGTGTGTGCGCGCGCGCGCGCGGGCTCGCGTATTCGTATTTATGTATGTGTGCATATGTATATATATAGAACACATGCATATGTATATATGAATATGTATACATAAAGTTTCTATAAATATTTCGTTAACGTTGCACCTCTTGATTAAACCTCGTAGTTTACTATGATAATTGTAGATAAATGCGCGCGGGCATATCGGTTGCCAATAATAAAAAAGCAGCTAAGAACTGGTAGGATAAACACGAAGTAAGAAGTATTTGAGATAAATAAACGGAGGCTGTACAAAGTCACGAGTGATGAATATTTTCATTGTTGGGGTGTAAGAATTAAGAAAGAAGAAAGAAAATTAAGTAAGAAGAAAATGGTACTGGAGGTAGAATTTTTAAAGTACACTGATTAAAATGACATGAAGAAAGAGTGAGAGCTTAAAGAGAACAAATAGATAAAATAATTATTTGTGAATAATCGACTTTGGATCTCATTTTCTCCTTCGCTCTCGATTTTTCTTTCAAATTCTTGGTTTTCAAGTCATGTTCCGAGAAACCTAATTGACATTATTATCATAAATATTATTATTGTATCATAAATAATAGTAGAAAAGTAATAAATATCAGAAAAGAAAAATTTAGGTGCTTCTTTTTATATTCGTTAAAAATATGGGCATCACAAGGTTATATATATATATATATATATACACTATTAAATATTAATATTTAATTATAAAATTTTGATAATTGGCTTCTATTGAATGAAACTAAAGGAAGTATCGATTAAAAATACGATGGATAATGTGGATTTGCCTGTATTGTATTTGTAACAATGTTTTTTTTTTTTTTTTTTTTTTCAAGAATTAAATTGGCTAGTATTATTTGTAACTAAAGTAAATGTCAGACTGCTGAATACAATCTCTATTTTTTATTGTATATTTACTTTACAGTAATTAAACATTTTAAACAAGTCAATTAAAAATTTATATAAAATTTATAAAGATTGTAATCTTATGTAAAAGCTTTCATATGCTCCAAAAATATTTCCTACAACATATGTACACTTAGATTTGAAGCATCTAATCGTTAAATTTGAATTATTTATTTATTTATAATAATTTCTTTAAATAACTTTTTCATTTCCCGACAATATCTCGATCAAATATATGATCAATAATGCACATTCTCTGTCGTAAATTCGTATTCGTACTATTTCTTACTATTATTTTTTGCAATTTGCATATAACTCTGCCACATATTATTATCCGTAGAAGTCAGATTAATTAAAGTACCTATATGCATTAAAGTACAGGATAAATAAAAAAAAAGTGAAAAATCGTCGATAATCATGAATCCTATAAAATGACGCGAAGCGCTGGTTATCCTTCGACGAAAACGCGATATTCCAAAAAAAAAAAAAAAAAAAAAAAAAATTCAAGCGAGTCCTAAATACGTATGGACTACATAAATTATGCGTAAAACTTACGTCTAGAAATAAATAAATAAACATCTAAACTAATAAATGAATAAATAAATTAATAAATGAATAAAGCGAATAAATAAGATTACATTCTAAGAATGAATGTTAAGTTTTCACTTCG